ATATTTACATTAAAAAAAGACATGATTCTCGTCTTCAACTTCCAATGCAATACATACAGTGCATAAATATCCTGTTATGGGGATATCGTTTTTACATCTAAATTTGTTTATCTTCAGATTGTTATGGGAAATTCGAAATTTGCACTACGCACGTATTAAGTATTTGTTTTTCTATTCAGTGATGTACGGTTCCAAGTGAAGGTCATACTTAAATTGTGAATGGTGGCTGAGAAACGTTGAGCTGCAAATATCATTATGTAGACGTAGACTTACGACAGTCGTAGCGCTACGACCACGCTACGGCCGCTTTGTGAAATGGGCCCCAGGTTTTTAAACAGTAAACTTAAACCGCTGCTTTCAAGATTTGCAATTAATACGTTCAAGGTGAATGTCAACCTTGACAGTGACAAGATATGTGACGACGTATGTGTAGCTGGCCGCCTATCAAAAGTATCATGTGAGTCCAGGTACGTTACGGTGACATTGCGGTGACACGGTAGCGGTCGTAACGTGAGGGCGTGAGGTTCGTCTCCGCCGGACAACGTGACTAGATGCGTGACGTGTTCACAGGTCGTTCATATGACGTGAGAGGCGAAGGACACACACCTGTGGCCCATTTTCTATGTGACATACCGCATGCGTATCTCCTCACGTTACGCGGGACACCCAGACACTTGAAGGTTGCGGCCGTGACGTAAGTACAGGCACAGCTGTTACACAATAAATGTGTAAATTCTTCAATTCATACTTCCTTTGTTTACGAATGACGTCCAACTATAATTACACGATGGTTTGATAACAGCAGGTTGTGATTATAGTAAGTGTGTAGAATGAATGCTATTTGAAGTTGTGCTCTTAAGGATACGGATACGGAGGTTGTTACGGATGCAGATGGCAAACGTTCAGGATGTGTACACACGAGGGAATCAAATATGGAAGAAATGATATTGAATGAAGTTTACAATCATGCAGCATTAATAATTAAATCGTTAAATCATCGCAATCATAGACCAATTTTATATTGAAATATGAACGATGTAATTCTAATGTAATAATATCCCTTCTTGCAACTGATATGTTGATTGAGATAATTGCTTGGGGGAGGAGGGGGAGGGGGCAGTATCAGAGTGATACAGAGTGATAGCTTGAGTGACATACCCTTCAGGTGAGTGGGTGACTTTAGTTTTACGCCGCAATCAGCAATACTCCAGTTATATGGCGGCGGTCTGAAAATAATCGAGTCTGGACCAGACAATCCAGTGATCAACAGCATGAGCATCGATCTGCGCAATTGGGAACCGATGACATGTGTCAACCAAGTCATCGAGCCTGACCACCCGATCCCGTTAGTCGCCTCTTACGACAAGCATGGGTTACTGAAGATCAATTATACGCCGGATCTTTACGGGTTCATACCCCTCAGGTTCGAGTCTATTCCGGAATGGGTCCTCTATTCCGGATTGGGTCCTAAACATCCAACGTTTGTCACAAAAGCTGGTTAGAGGAAATTTTATCGAGTACTATCATGGGATTGTTCCACAAACCATTATGCGCAAAGACAATTGTAATCTAACGCTATTAATCAACATTGGCTTACGACGGTTCGTTTAGTGGACTGTGTACCATCGGCACATTTATAATCGCTACATATCATTGCGTTGTCTTGGTCCAAAATCCATAACTTACAAAATGAGATATAACTGTATATAAACATTAACAAAACCATCTCCATATTCATTATTGATATCGAATACGATTCCGACCATATCATCACCATGTGTTTGTGAATCATTATCAAATAGGCGTTTATGAACAGGAGAGCGTGGCCTACCTCCCCAGATAACAAGATCTGAATAGTGCGGTTAGATAGTGTTGTGTTATGACCCTGTCTTCGATTTGGTGGTTTGGGCGGTTGGGTAACCTAGTTGCTAAAGGGGCCGTTTGTCACGACGAACACCCGGGTTCGATTCCACACCTGGGCACAATGCGTGAAGCCCATTTGTGGTGTCCCCCGCCGTTATGTTGCTGGAATGTTGCTAAAAGCGGCGTAAAATTTTACCCAGTCAATCGTTTTCGTGGTAGTGGTGCAGATTCTTCGTCTGTCGCGTACTCGAGATTTAACCACATAAAGAAGATCGGCGATAGATGAACAGCTGCTTTTGTATATTCAGTGATGAAATGTATGAGAGAGAGAAAAGGAGTGAGTGAGTGAGTGAGTAAGTTTAGTTTTACGCCGCACTCAGCAATATCCCAGCTATATGGCGGCGGTCTGTAAATAATCGAGTCTGGACCAGACAATCCAGTGATCAATAGCATGAGCATCGATCTGCGCAAGAGAGAAAAGGAAATAAGGAAAGGAAGAGGGAACATATACGTGGAAAAAATACCACAGACAACAAATTCTAAACGACACAATACGTCTGTTATCATCTCTGGAATAGTTAAACCAATGGTCGACAGCGAGAGCACCGAATCAATCGTCGAAGTATACTTTCCAACTGCCTAGTCACGCATCCAGCGTATTCACACAGGGAAGCTCGTTAAAACACGGTTATCTCAAAATATCTGTTCAGAAGATGTCTCTTTATTGTTCTGTTACGATCGGTAACCTCGATAAATCAAACACTGTTATCTCAAAATACAATTTGAGACGATGTATCTTTATTGCTGTTACGATCGGTAACCTCGATAAATCAAACACTGTTATCTCAAAATACACTTTACGATGTCTCTTTATTGTTCTGTTACGATCGGTAACCTTGTTAAATCAAACACTGTTATCTCAAAATACACTTTACGATGTCTCTTTATTGTTCTGTTACGATCGGTAACCTTGTTAAATCAAACACTGTTATCTCAAAATACACTTTGAGTCGATGTCTCTTTATTGTTCTGTTACGATCGGTAACCTCGATAAATCAAACACTGTTATCTCAAAATACACTTTGAGTCGATGTCTCTTTATTGTTCTGTTACAATCGGTAACCTTGTTAAATCAAACACTCTTATCTCAAAATACACTTTACGATGTCTCTTTATTGTTCTGTTACGATCGGTAACCTTGTTAAATCAAACACTGTTATCTCGAAATACACTTTGACTCGATGTCTCTTTATTGTTCTGTTACGATCGGTAACCTCGATAAATCAAACACTGTTATATCTTTTGAGATGATGTTTCTTTATTTTTCTGATATAACCGGTGCTCCACTTATCTCCAATTAACGATAAATGTGCTAAATGGGGGTTTACTGAGAGACCTAATCCCGATTAAATGGTCTGATGTTAGACACAAAAGAAATAGGAAGGCGCGTTACAAGTCGTCACCACAGAGATGCTTCATTTCATAGGCCTTATATCTATACTGACCTCTGCTGTCATCAGTTTTAATCCATTTCCTTATCATAAAAGCGTGCTCAATTTCCCTTACATGTACGATGTCGTTATATTTCATTTGACCATCCCAATACTGACGACATTTGCACCGTTTTCCTCATCAAATACATGTCATTTGTGACAAGAGCATTTTTCAAAAGCATATCGCTTGTACCTCATGTCAGCTGTTTTCTCGCCAATGTCTTTTTCAGCCAATGCAATAACTCCGCTAAATTATCGCCGTCAAACATTTCCACTGCCAAGCTTTGAAACGTCACTACTGATCGTAGTATTAAGAATAACTGAGATAGATCTTTACCAGCAACCAGTGTACCTGTCACCCTCTCAGTTCAAGCCGGTTCACACGGGCGGAACGTGTAGATAGCACACGTATAACATGTACATAACTGCCACTCACACCAGGCTGTCGGGGAGGGGAGAGCAAGGGATTCCTTGTTCCGCTACTGCCTACGTCAGAAACAGCTGATATAGGTAACGACTGGGCAAGGTTGATAAAAGGGTTTTGTTCTAAAAGGAAGTCAGATGATGAATACATGCTGCTGGCAATGTGCGCACTGTGACGTATTAATCCACATACTGATGAAATACGCTTCATGTAATAGTTTCATAATCATCTATGAAACTGTTGCATCAAACTTTACGTTTATTTATGTTTTCAAGAATGAAAAGCATTCCATTGAACATATTTACTCTGAATCACAAGCATGAAATATTATCCTAACGGTACTAAATCCGACCTAGTTGTCTCGACAATAGTAAACAGTTAAAGATAACGGTAAATATTTTGCTTAGTGACACAGTAATGCAGTTCGGGGCACAAGTGCTTTAAATTCGTTTAATGGTTACGTTTAATGATAGAGAGACTTGACATTTAACCCTCTCGCACGTTGTAATTCTCCGCCTAGTACACGCCCAACTGTATACATCAAGAACGCGATCGTGTACCACCACCTCCTCCCCCGCGTTTAAACCCCGCTGTTGTATCGCCGGCTTAACGCGCTGCCGTGAGAATCGCCTTCCTCAGTAGCGATATTTACTTCCTCATCAGATGGATAAGGCCACATAGTTCCCTACGGCGTTTCCACCGATCTCACAATACACCGCGTGCTCCCGACAATTTGTATGTTAGTAAACACCGAGATTTTCATTCGTACGAGAACTGGAAGATTGTTAAAATGGGCGGAGTACCTCTCAACAGACCTTGCAGAGGTATTTAAGATATGTAGAATATTAGCCTATAAACATATCAAGCTATCATTGCCCCGCTATTACGCCCACTAAGGAATATATGATATCGACAAATAATTTATTGTAATATACAAACGCTTGGTTTTCTTTGCTGATCAGTAAGAAAAATGCACCCTCGCGAAAATCATAATCCCAACATGTTTTTTTAAAGAAAAAATGGTGTTATTGGTGCTATCACTGGCGCTGGTAGACTGTTGTCCATTTCACATTTGTCAGCAAGGCGTGCGGGGCAATGTACAACCTTTCTCATTGGTTGGTGATTTAGCTGTCACCCCAGTAAACTATAATAGTGAAATCTGACGTCACTATAGGGAGAGGAGTCCCCAGCATGATACGCCAAGTTTATATTACAAATGTCTGTCGCTTTCGACAGTGCAATCTTGCGCGTACACCAAACCAGCTGATTTTTTTTTTCATGTAAATTTCATCACATTTCCGTTCATCGGTTTCCATCAATTACAAGTCAAGCCTAAATCTTCCGTCTTAAATGGGAGTATCAGTTAACGGAACTTGGTTCACATTATTTAAAAGGACGGGAATACACTTCAACGGTCAGTTAACCATCCACAGAGACAAGTGACGGATTGAAATTGACAACTGCTATTGACAACACGCTATGAAAGATACCACATTGGCACTGCCGCTGGTAGCACTAACTTTTGTCATTTGTTGGACTCCGGGACATCTCAAATGTCTACCCGCTTCGGAATCTTCGGAATACAAAGAAGTTCTTATTAACCAGTTTAAAAAGAAAATCCTCAAGAGACTTGGGTATTCTTCTCCTCCAAATGTCACCGCTTTGCCAAATGATCAACTCAAAAACGACATGGCTCGTCAGTTTATGATTCAGCGAGGAGTACTTCCGATCGATACACAACAGGAGGCTGAAAAACCACATACTTACAGAGCACTGAGTAAGTCTTCATTCCTTTAATTCCTAGTTTATTCTCTGCTTGGCTTCCAGTGTTAAATGTACCCAGAGACACATGCGTTATACGTGCACAGATATATAAACACTTATGACAGTTAACAATGCAGACACCTCCAGGCATATCGCAGGTGTGACTTGTTTCGGTTCGTTTGAATTGTATATATATATATACTCTGCATTTTTCATCTTACATCTTAAACATTGAAGTAATTGTATTAAATAACGAAATATGTGTTGTCACTTTACAGTTCAGAAAAAGGTACATGTACTTTCAAATTAATGGAAATCTAATGTTATAATGTTTTATTTCGAAGCCATATTCACTCTTATCGCGAACACAGTCTTCCATCACAGAGTTTCCATTCATATAGTTTTCACAGCTATTTTGCTTTTTAAACCAAAGAGAATTTCTTTCTCTAGCTCTGACGTTTCATCTTATGTTAAATGTCACTCGAGCAATTAGCAATTGATGATGACCTTTCGATAGTCAACTGAAATCCTATAAAAGAACATAAAAAGATTTTCTTTTTAAAACGTATGTTCAACTTTTAATAATATAAACTGTTGAACGTCATGGGCGGTGGGGTAGCCTAGTGGTTAAAGCGTTTGCTCGTCACGCCGAAGACCCGGGTTCGAATCCCCACATGGGTACATTGTGTGAAGCCCATTTCTGGTGTTCCCCGCCGTGATGTTGCTGGAATATTGCTAAAAGCGGCGTAAAACCAAACTCAGTCAGTCAGTTGAACGTCATATGAACTAGCTCATCTTCTCCCATTATATATCGACTAAAAGAGACCTAGCTATAGAAATATGCCTTTCTTATACCCAGATACCACACCATTTTCGTATGTATTATGATTCGGGTCTTTCTCCACATTACACAGGCCAATATGGAATGTGATTTGATTTTGTTAGATAAGGCACCGCAGGTATAGTCCTTGTATAGACTGATAACTGCATTCCAGGCCGCATTGCCTTGGTGTCGATGCACGAGGTGTTACGGTTTAAAACAGCTGACAGTCGCGCTGACATGACACTCAAACACCTTCAGCACGAGACTAGGAAGCGTGCATGTTTGATAATAATACTTGGTATTTGTCGTAATTTTTGTGACATGTGACACGGGAAGTGTGTATGTTAGATTATAATACTTGGTATTTGTCGTAACGTTTGTGACATGTGACACGGGCAGTGTGTATGTAAGATTATAATACTTGGTATTTATCGTAACTTTAGTGACGTGTGACTCGGGAAGTGTGTATGTAAGATTATAATACTTGGTATTTGTCGTAACTTTTGTGACACGGGAAGTGTGTATGTTAGATTATACTACTATATATTAGTCGTTTGGGCTTGTTTGATAATGATACTTGGTACTAGAGGTAATTTTTGTAACACGTACTTGACGAATGTGATTATTAGTTCATCTTAGCTTTAGTACGACTTATCGATTGTATGTATCTATTATTGTAGAGACGGTACTATCATCAGATTCCATCGGCTTACTTGAAGTGTTATTTCCTTATAAAGCCTCTAGCTATGAGGGGTGGTAGGGTAGCCTAATGGTTAACGCATTCGCTCGTCACGCCGAAAACCCTGGTTCTATTCCTCACATGAGAACAATATGTGAAGCCCATTACTGGTGATGTTGCTGGAACATTGCAAAACACGGCGTAAAACTAAACTCATTCACTCATTCTTGCTATGATATCTGATTAAGTAATTTACCCAATCATTTCAAGTTCCCCTGTCCTCGTGTCTGGCATTGTTCTTTTTGGGAACAAAGTCGTCCATTATCTCGAAGGTTAATGTGCAGAGTTGCGTCCCCCAGTCGCGCCAGGATCCGCTGCTTGTTGATTCAAATTCCACATTGCTTTGCGTATGATCCGTTTATTTACAGCTTTATTGCCGTGCTCATGGGTTTTATTGAAGTGGTTAATGTTTACGACTCGCATCACGATGACATTTGAGGTTTTATTGTCCTTTAAAACTACATTACATACTTGAAGAAAAGTTAACCCATGTTCTTGAAGAAACAACGTTCAGCTTACAGAATCAGTTCATGATGCAACTGTCTTTGCTCATCACATAATGTGATGAGCATTTTCGTGACCCTTTGTCGATACATTAGAGGAGGCTAACAAAGATATTGGTCTGTCGCTGTGTAGTAATCTTTACTGACACGTTGGAACCTGAGTCGTTTAACGCGTTGACATCAAGGACATGGACCGATGGTTCCATCAATGAAAAACGGTTTCGGTATCGGGAAAGAATATCATAAGATAAATCAGCGGCTTATCAGTGAGCGTCAGAATCCAAGATGACATACACTTGAGTTTGCATGGCTTAGTGTGCAATCACCACCCACACCGTCCCGTGAGGGGGATGCTCAAACATGATTCACAGTATCTTGTCTGGGGCGCGCTGGTCAGGGGGTAGCTGTTAAAGCGATTGCTTGGTACACCAAAGGCTACGGGTTTGATTCCCCACATGGTACAATTTGTCTTGTTTATTCAACCGATAAATGCCTGGAATATTAACAATACAACCTTAACTCATACTGACTCTTTGGAACAGAGTCACCAAGCTGTGTAAGGCGCAACTATACGTTATGCATGGGTGTGCCCTTTGTTTGTGGCAGATTTTATGATCGTGGGTTCGATTCCAAGGCATTAAGTTGAAATATTAATGATGTTGCATATATAGGGGAATGGCTTGGAAACAAAGAATCTGAAATGATTTGAATCCTCTGCGATGGGGTTTTAGGTAGATGGGTTGGGTTATCGCATGTTGCACATACTCCTTAGGTTTGATTCTAAGGAAGGGTAGGTCTGTCATATCCAGTCCCAGACCCAGATTCGCTTCCAACATGGGTACAATGTGTGAAGCCCATTTCCGGTGACCCCCGCCGTGATATTGCTGGAATAGTGCTTAAAGCGGCGTAAAATCATACTCACTCGCTCACTCACCGTTTATAACGCAGCATGTCAGGTTAATGTCTGAAGGGAACCCGAGGTGATGCAGCCCTCAGACATTTGTGTGAACCACACCGAGATTCGAACCCTTGGCGCTTTAGACGACTGGGCCACTCTTACTTCCTTCTGATGATAGAGTTCAGAGCTGTAACAGTGAAGACTGCAGATTACACGCACACCCACCGAACCCCAGCTCTTACATACGACCGCCTATCTAACGCGACCCAAATATATCATGCTAATGATAATGGTTTATTTTTGTCACAAAAATGTTCGTAGAAATATAGAACGATCAATTTGGCTTTGCCTCCGTTATAGTCTATATTTATTTTATTATTAAATAACGTATTTATTACTGTATATAAATAGAAATATCAACGTTTATTAGTATCACTCGAATATTAAATATAAGTAGCGATCAAAGATCTTTTCAGTATATCTCATGAATATGAATCAATGCATGCATGCAAATAGCACAAAAATGAAAGTCATGGTTTACATTATAAATGTGGTTAATTTGTCACTTGCCCAAAGGATTTATCAAATTTGTAGCATCTCTGGACCGATTAGGCGGATTATAGGTGCGCGTTCCAAAGATTCGTACGCGTGGTCTTCCTGAAAGGGACTCATTGCAGCATGTACGTGGGCTATATATAGACCGTCGATCGATACCCATGCTAAAAATTATCCCAATTTATCACACAGAGATCTAAGAGTAAAAGTAAAATGTCAAGTGTTCATTTATTTGCACAGCGCACGTCTGCCATTGAAGCCCATCACATATTGGGGCAAAACGGGCCGCTGTGGCATGGCAGATGCTAATCGTTTACGATTACTCCAATAATACACTTGTCGTCGAGCAACAGAACGATAGCCTCTTTCGTCTTGATCAATAGATACTTATTAGGCTGAATTCGGAATAAATGTCAGTAGCGTTACTGTCAGATCTGCAAAGTTGGACCGAGGGGGTCTGAGAACAGCTTTAAAGGGAGACTCCGATCTACGTTACTGTTAGATCTGCAAGGTTGGGCAGTGGAGACTGAGAACAGTTTTAAAGGGAGACTCCGATCTACGTTACTGTTAGATCTGCAAGGTTGGGCAGTGGAGACTGAGAACAGTTTTAAAGGGAGACTCTGATCTACGTTACTGTTAGATCTGCAAGTTTGGACAGAAGGGGCTCCGATACATTGCCAAATTGTGGCCTTGGATGTAATTATTGCCTTGTGTCAAACCGAGACAGGGTCTGTGTGCATTTGGGTTTTTTAACAAACCACAAAAACTAATTACAAACTAAATGTGTCTTGAATCAAATTTTCTGGGACTCCCATAAAAATTAAGCTTACACATGGTACCTACAATTATTCCTGTTTGGAATCAGGTATACAACCCGAACCTACCGGGTATACTGTTCATAACAGAGGACACTAAAGGGACCGGGTGGACAGGCAGGGAACTTGGTCGATAGCATGTTCTCATACACCGATCGTTTCCCACAATATCGAAATCTAGATAGCCTGATCGAAACTCGATTCTTTGCAGACTGGAGCTGATATATTGCTGAGTTTGCGTTTTAACAACTAACAAACCGCTTATGAATTAGCTATTCCACACCGCACCCGGACGTTCGACAACGGGCATTGTTAACCCGGACTTAAATACTAAGGCTAAAAGTAACTAAATTCCCATTTATACTGATATCAAATAAGCTTGATGAATGGCATGTTGCGCTTAAATTTCTGATACAAATCCAAAGATCAATGGAGTCAATATTTAGACATAATTAAGTTCCCAGCAAGTTGTCTTACAGATCACAAGCATATTTATACAGGATTAAAGCTTAAAAGGTGAAGTTATGTGGTATTTAGAACCCTATGACTTGACCGAGATCCTAAATATATCTATTTCTGTAATCTTTAACCGTCGGCTTACGGCAAGCTAATGATCTTATTAATCAGCGTTTAGTTTTATAGAGGAAATTGGACAATCTTGGATGGGATTGAAGTCTTGCTAGATGAAAACTCTCGTTCTAGGTTGAGTTATTATTAATGCTTTTTATTATGAGGTTTGTCCAAAAATTGGTCTTATTTAAACCACTCTGACTGTCTTGAGGACGTGGCACGACACGAAGTAATCTTTGAAGTAATGTTTGCTTCGGGATTATGTTATTACGTTTAATAAGTAAAATTGGTATTTACAATGGTATTAAAACATTAAAGGCTGTGTTTATTTCGAAGTGTATCAGGTGTAAATGCCGCGTGTGGGAAACACAGAAGCTGGCATCGTTGATATACAATAAACGATATACCTCCGTGGGTCACACTCTCCTCTTGTCAAATCTCACTACACCGGGTACCTTGACATCTTGGGGACAGTCATTATGGGATTATGTAGTTTTAACTTATCTCGAGACCACAAGCTCAGTTTGACACCCAAATATTCATTTTATTACTTTTGCCCTTTTTACATTGGTTCATTTTCTGAACACCAAATTGCAAAGCACAAGTCAGGCGTGGAAGTTTTAATAATTCCAAGTAACCATCATGTCTTCACGCTTATGGTGTAAGTCACCTGCTTATTTTTTTAAAACAGTTCCTTTTACTTCGGTTAACATTTATGCAAACACGATCATAAAGTCGGATGTGGGCGTTTTGAAATAGTACACGTATCCCAGCAGTAATTAGATTGTGTGGGCATATTAGACTCAAACTTGAGTATTTTCACTTTTAAAACAACGTTTTCAAACTGGAATGTTATTAGATATCGCGATAAAAATGTTATTTGGAAGCTTGCTAATTCAGCATTTATGGACTCTTTCTTAGCTTTTGTGTCTGCACTCAGCAACATTAGCAGCGAGATGTTAAACATGTTTAAATGGAGATTACTGTACCTTCTTCCTTTCAGAAAACGTGCATAACACGTTTCATATTAATTATATCCTTATTGTGTGAGAGTAAACAAAATGCATCCGAATTATCTTTCATGCATGCTCTTGGGGCGGTAGGGTAGCCTAGTGGTTTAACTTTCTCTCGTCTTGCTGAAGACCAGGGGTCGATTCCCACAGGGGTAAAATATATGAAACCCATTCCTGGAGTCCCCCGCCGTGATATTGCTCGAATATTGCTAAAAGCGGCGTAAAACTAAACTCATTTACTTGGTGCACCCACGTGATATCCATTGCATACGCAATGTATAAAATCGCTCCAATCCCAAACCATGCTACAGTTTCGACAGAATGGACCAAGAAATAGAGTAGTAAAGGAATAAAAAGACCTGCCACCTTACATTTGTAAATTCTACATGTTGAAAGTGTTATTAGTTCCAGGTTTTGCGCAGCGTGAAATAAATACTGTTACTGATATTTATGCCCCGTGCAAATTAAACATCGCGAGAATTCCACATGGAAACAGTTTTAAGACTTTATGCCAAACTGTAGTCAAATATAGGCAAAGTATGCTTCGATAATACCCACCCACGTGTCTATGAATAATGCATCACCAGGACCACGTTAACGTTAAGCGAGAAGATGCGAAGGAAGCAAATCGACAGGGATAAAGAGATGTTTTGTTCCTCATCTTCTACAAAGCAATATCTGCAGGGGCAGTTCTGCTATTGATTATTATTAATCTGTACCTAAAGATGAGCATCAGTTCATGAGGAGTTGGGATGACAGAACATGCAATCTTATTGACCTTAGCTCTGTTATCAGGCATTGTGGGATTTCAAGCATAATTGAACACTTTTCTCAAAAGAATATGTACATGCCTTAAACATTAGTTAATTTTATGGGATGTCGGAAACCTCGTAAGAAGAGCTTTGAGCCGCCGCCCACAGGTTCGATATGATGGGTATTGTTCTAATATGACAGCTTCATTCATGGGCGGTGGGTTTTGATTCAGAAATCAGGAGGTCGAACCAAGACCGATATGTTAGAGCGTCGATTGCATAGTGATGTGTATGCGGTTAGGTGACCCAGGCGCTATCCAACAGAGGTCCTTCACGCACTAGATGCTATCGGTGGATGTTGCTGTCGGCAGCGATGTAGCAGTTATCTCAGTCATCTTAGAAAAACTATCTATAGTTTTTTTTTCTATTTAACACATCCTTATACAGAGATATAATTGAAATTATTGACTTTTATTTCTGCATTTGTACACGAGTGTGAGTTAATGGCCACTTTGAAAGGTATTCGAGCACTGTAACGGTGACCGATGAAGGTCCGGGTTAGAATTGATCTTCAGTAACCCATGTTTGTCGTAAGAGGCGACTAACGGGATCGGGTGGTCAGGCTCGCTGACTTGGTTGACACATGCCATTGGTTCCCAATTGCGCAGATCGATGCTCATGGTGTTGATCACTGGATTGTCTGGTCCAGACTTGATTATTTACAGACAGCCGCCATATAGCTGGAACATTGTTGAGTGCGGCGTAACACTAAACTCAGTCCCTCACTCACTCAAGTAACGGTGGCAGGAAGTCCGAAGTGATGCAGGTCTCAGAAGTTGACCTAAATGACCACTTAGGTGTATCCTACTAGTATGGGTATGGAGCTGACAAACCTAAAAATGTAATGAGCAAACAGGGATTCGAACCCGCAATCATAGCTTCGTGGCGTGCCCAAGAGACGTAACTGTACACAGCGAATTCCAGTGCTTTAGACGACTTGGCCAACTCGTCCCACTCTCTTTGCACACATGACAACGATCTCGATTGACGTCATTCGTTTACACTGAAATAACCTCTTAATCAACGTAACACTTTTAAGCTTAATTTACACCAGACCACAATCTACCTAATCTTAAATCTCACATCAAACCGCAACTTGGCTAAACAAAACACGCGTCGCAACTGAACACGATAAACAGAGACGTAACATTATACTTAGCGCCGTACCACAGCACAGTGCACGGTTACAAAACAAAACAACAGAATGAATAGCCCCACGCCATCATTTGATACTCAGAATGCAAAGGACCATGCCCCACCACGCCAGACCACGCCACGAAGAAACTGCGCAATCATGCAACACGGTAGTGCACACAGCAACACGATACGTAAATGAGCCCCACTTTATAGGCAACGAAGGTGGCACAACACTCTATGGAGAGGCAAGGTCACGCGACGGGGTATCACAGCACGAGACACACAGCCACGCCACAACACGAGACACACAGCCACGCCACAACACGAGACACACAGCCACGCCACAACACGAGACACACAGCCACGCCACAACACGAGACACAGCGCATCTCAACGCTGCAACATACGATAGACAGCGCCTTGTTCCACGATACACGAGCGAGAGCGCTTTGTAAATGTGCGCATGCTATCTCAGTTCACAAGCGCTATACAACAGGCATTAGTCCCGGTTAGTAAAGACTAAACGCACACGCACGCACACACACATGCACACGCAACACACATATATGCATGTAGAGCAACGTCATTGAACGCGACGTTTCACCTGACCACGCCACAACATACAACACAACACTCTCTCCTCAGATATGTCGTTGACGTTCTGTGATAATCCATATATACACCAGTGCATTAATTAAGCACCACCCTGTATTTTTTACCAATTAATTTTGTCTGAAATGATATTCTAAACTCTTTCCAAAAAATAACCTTTATAAGTGGATAAAGCTTCTTTAACTACAGGTTGATTAAATTGATGGCTATACCCTAACGTTTCTGTAGCATCACATCTTATTTTCAAAATAGGGTGGTGCTTAATTAATACACGGGTGTATATATTGAGACGTTAGAAGTGTTATTGTTGGCATTGCCTATGACTGATGCACTGTACTAAACGTATTCTGACCAATATGAAATGTCACAAAAACATCCCAACAGAGACATTGCATTCGGTTAGGAAAGTCTACAATTCAATGTGACTTGTATTCCATTAAATGTAAGAATACATATTCACCTTTCAGTAATTGCAAGGTATTCCACAAATCTAATGTCTCGATATATAGCATATTGTTACTACTTCGGGCGTCTTCAATGTGTGTAGTATGAACGTCTCGAGCTGAAAGGAATAATTAGTTACTTTTATTCATGGCTGATAAGTTGTTCAAACGTTGCTCTTAATAAGCACAAGGTATAGACTTTAAACCTTCATCTATGATAAAGGACATCAGTAAATGCGACAATATGGAATCCTGATAAAAAAAGCAACCTAGGCATATTTCTAAATCTCCACTACATGCATTAGTGCATCTGCACCAGTATATATCCTTATTTGTGTATAAAAGAAAATCCATTCCCGACAGACAAGTCATTTAAATCAGGCGCCAACATATCGAATCACTTTCATAGTTATATAAAAGATAAACTTCAAACTGAAATCGCTACTCCAAATCTCCAAAAGAAATAATACATACACTTCTATGAACAGGCGCCATTTTGAGCCAGATTCAGTAAGTCATTTAAAAAAAATAAATTTAGTTTGCTTTTTTTTAAGGTTGACATGTGTAAAAGTATACAGTTCAATACATACGTGTAAGGTTGACAATACTTCAGTATAATTGTACAGAGTCAATCACATGGTTACATGTACAACGAGATAATTTACTTACTCAACGGTTCTAAATAGCATGTGTAAACTGGACCATAGTTTTAGGAAGTAGGGTTCCTGGTCAAAGTTAATGTCCATGTATACATATTTTGTGGCATTATAATATTGTATGATTTGTCTCTTGATGTATGAAATATTTGGCATGAAACCTTTCTTACTACAATTGTATATAATATTCTTGACTAAAATATTTATCGCATTTACTGAGATTCAGTAAGTCCTGTTACTGCTGCCTGATTTGACACAACCAGCATTATTTAATTTGATTGTTTCTGTTATAGATGGTGTCCCTTTGGACGTGAGCTCTCATTTCCCTGACGTGACTCCGCTCCATGCGACAACGTTTCACATAGGGGAACATTCGCCTCGACATCATCTTGTAGAAAAAGCATGGCTTAGTTTTTGTCAGAAGATATCCAATGGAAGGAGACCTTCCCAAACCCTGAACAGAAAAGGGAGACTTCTAATTTACCAACTTGAGCACGACAGTGGCTCGCACAGGACCGGGCGCCATCTTGTCGTAAGTCGTCCAGTAAAGTCCCTGTCGTCTGCTTGCATGAATATCGATGTTTCAGAAACTCTGAGAAAGAATTTCACTGGGGATGTGACATTTGTTCTGGTTTTCATAAAAGGACGAAGATCCAATGAGCAGGACAAGACTGATCGTAAATCCCTAATGTCCAGTATTCGATCTACCCTTTTAGTGAACTTAGGTGAGAGAGGTAAAGTTTTTCCCCGAGAGAAACGGGAGGTCGGAAGGACAGACTGTAAAGCAACGGACGGCGAGAAGAGGTGTTGCCGGTACCACACTTACATATCCTTCAAAGAAATAGGCTGGGATGACTGGGTTATCGCCCCTCCCGGATATGACGCTTATTACTGCGCCGGAGAGTGCCCACATCGATACAAGATGGCGCACACATTCGCAGGGATTAAGTCTCTTCTACATCACATGGACCCAACTCGTGTTCCTCAGCCCACGTGTACGGCGACGCGACTACGTCCTCTGACGTTGCTAAGCCTCGACGAGTTTGGGAAGATGACATATTCGGACCACCCTGACATGATTGTCGACGAGTGCAAGTGTTCCTGACAACGGAGCGTTTCAGTTAGGACAGACGTTTGCAATGAGCTACGGGATTGACTGAATGACGTACATGTGTTAATACACGTACAAAGTATATATGACATACAGCAAAGAGGGCTTAAGTTATATTAGAACCGAGGAACAAAAGAAACTATACCTGTCAGATGTTTTCCTCAAATGTTTGATTTTACTTTGAAAATTACTTTAGATGGCAATATATCTAAACAATTAACTGTGCTGGCGCTTAGTCAGCAATGAATCTGCTTGGTTACATTGGTTCCAAATAAAATTTAATTTAGTACATTTAAGTTTAAAATTAAATCGCAAAATACACAACAATTGAAGGGTATGTTACCTTAAAAACAGTTATGTAAGTAAATTTGCTTTTCATCGGCACAATGTGAAATTTCGAACATGGTAGGAGTGGGTGATTGTTAAATGGACAAAAATTCATCAACGGTGAATTTTCATTACATAAATACAGGCTCGGTACCCTTTGTTTTGCCCTCCGTTTATGTGTAATTCAAAAGAAGGCCACAACGTATTCGTTCCTGCTTCTTCACGTTGAAGAGCTGAGCCCGGCTCCACACATGACCCTTAGCACTACGACTCTCGTAAGTCTGTATTAGAGCATGAGAGTTTGGCTCAAAAAGACTTTGTGGAACAAGACACCGAATTAATTTATATGGCATGTTTCTGAAACTTCAGTTTTTAGAAGTTATTGCCTTTTTCGTTTGATATATGTGCATCAAATACTGCATCAGATTTTAGTTCTTACCCATGCATTATTAATTAGGGCAAAGGGGACCACTGGTGTCTTTGTTATGTAAATTTTGTCAAGGGATCATCGTCCTATAAATCACAGAATATGTAGGGTTGTTTTTAGAAACAAAAATTCACAATATTTTGGATTATTCTGAGGAACTTATAATCAGTATGGTATGGTCTTCAGATGCAGTTTCTGACGACAAGCTGCCTGCTCCAATGTCTGCCTGGATGTTTTATGTTTTCAAACGAATGAAATAGACATCTCTATGTTCTATATTTGCATAAATGCAAGTGATGCATGTCTATTTCAACATATGAGATACAATCTCAGTTATTTTGGATGGAAAACTTAAACCTTTACTCTGAATCTGATACTTCATGTAAGATACTATATTTATGTATATATAGATGGAATCTTTGTAAATATAAAATATTTATTTATTTATTTGTGTGCATGTGCTTTATGTATGATATACTTTGTTGGAATATATATGTCTTTTAAAGCAACGGTATGATACGTTATCAAACTCGAAACTCTGTACGGTGGTCGTTTGTTTGTTTTGTAGAGGTAACATGTTTGAATATCCATCTATTTTTAAACCAGTTTGGGAAAGTAAGCAGTCAGTTGTGTTACGGGAGCTGAGAATGGGCGGGTCCGACTACGGCAGAACCAAAGCACGTTTTCACATTCTGCTTGGCTCGAAATGGATTTCTTATCAATCACTGGTTTAGCAAAACACACAATCATCTACATAAATCTCGTTTGTATGTTTTCACAATTAATTATCATATTTTTCCCTTGTACCTTGACTAGGCTAATCGTCATTCATTGTGAGACAATAATTCAAATGGCATATCGAGATGTGTTTACTCATTGTTTATGTATGTGTTTGTCACGTTTTATCATTTTGAGGTGGTGAGGCAATTTTTATGTTTTATTATCACAACTTGATTCCTATTTCGATTATCGATACCGACTGTTATTCGATTGTTGTTTTTAAATCTCGGTGTTTCACCACTGTGAACATCTGTACGCCATGAAAACCAGGTTTAATAGCTACATTTGCCCACTACAGAAGGAACGAACTGTTCGACAATGCGTTTGACCAGTGACAAGTCAAGGTTGACGAGAACTTGTGTTCTTACAGGTTTGATTGACCATACGAGGAACTAATATATATTATTTACAATCTTCCTTAGTCTTGTAAATATACGACCTCTGCAAATCCACTTCCGTCCGTTAATACAAATCAAATTTTATTTATTTATTTACTTGGACTACAAATCAAATTTTATTTATTTACTATTTATTTTGTGTGGCTAACATTTGCGCTAGTCAGTTATACGGCACTGTCATGTTGTTTATCTTCATTATGTAAATGTGAGCTTCAGTGTGATTTGAGTTCGCTATGTTAACTATGTACCTGAAACCTCGGGTATCTGGAGCCCTTCATTCCGGACGCTGACTATTGTGATGTCGAACTGTAGACAAGGGACCTTTATCCACGATTCATCCGAAAGTGAGTCAGTCACAACGGTTGGAAATCGTGTCCCGATGAAAGAGGTTTAGCTGTATATTTTTATAACGGTGTGTCTGTAAATTTCATTGAACATCTTAGTCACAATATGGCTGAAGTACTCCCGATGTGACTATAAACTTAAACTCACTCACTCACTCATTGTACATCACCCCACCGAAGCAACTGAGAACGCTAACTCACAACACGTGTACAGATAATACCTCGACGTTTGAATTATGTGAATCCGTTGCTGTATCTTGAGATGTATCCGTGTTCCTGTACCATTCCAATGGTGTCAGCTTTCCTTGTAGGTCTGTTTACAGGGGCGGATCCAGAGGGTGTGTGCGGGGGTGCTCCCTGAGGATCATTTCCCCCTAACCTTTAGACTTCATGATTTATGTGCACCCCCTCTTCTCAAAAATCCTGGTTCCGCCCCTGGTATATTTATCCGCATATTTAGCTTAGCTAGTCTCAGAACCGATACCGGGTTGGGATCGAACCCCAGCAACCTATTATGGCGCCTAAATGGGTGATCGATGCTAATAATATCAATCACTGGATTATCTGGTCCAGACTCCATTATTGTTGAGTGTAGCGCCAGTCACTAAACATAACAAAACCTTATTTTAGGAATAGTCTCTATGCTTTTAGGGACATATTATGAGCACAAATTAGGTGGCATGTGTCCATCTAGCAAACTATTTGGTTGAGGTCATTTAATTGTGAACGAATAGACCCATTTCCCTTAATAGCTATATCACGTAGTTTCTAAATAGAATTCATTAGATAAAGTGCTTGTTTTGATATGTTTGGGTCCTTGGTTTTAGCAAACTTAAAGGTCATCATTAGAAAAACTCAAAGCTATGTGTACTTTAGTATTGCTCAAGGTTCAACAACGTCAGCTGTATATATCAGCATTGTATACACTTTTAAATATTCTCTCCTCAAGAAAGAGTATCTTAAATTATATTTGTACATATACAATTTGCGTTTTATTATTTACATGCGTATATCTCAAATTGTTTACTTTGATGTGTTTCAACACAACCAATCAGGTGCTTGTGTGATTGTCGACAACAGATAAACTCCAAATGGACGGATGATGATTCTTGCCAAAATATGATAAATTTGTTATCTCCACTGCTTCTGACGCTGTGATATCATGAAGGCCCCCCTTGGGGTCATTTGAATAAACTATTGTTGTCGATATTTGTGTTTTAGTTTATATGATTCATAATGGGACAGCGTGGCCTGGCGGTTGTGAACGCTGACATTGTCTGTGAAGTGCGTGAGTGAGTGACTTTGGTTTTACGCTGCATTTAGCAATATTCCAGCAATATCACGTCGGGGGCACCAGAAATGGGCTTCACATATTGTACCCATGTGGGGAATCGAACCTGGATCTTCGGCGTGACGAGCGAACGCTTTAACCACTAGGCTACCCAACTGACCCTGTCTGTGAACAGTTGCATCTCTGATAATGACAGGAATTGATTATTGTGGGTTTGGATCTGAGGATATTTATCCTTGGTGTGTTTGCATCATACACATGCTCTTAGATTGGGCTTCATACAAGGCAAACACCGTTCATCAGCCCTCGGCACTTGACAGCGTGGCCCGCCAGCTTTTGCAGTATTACAGCGGGTTTGCAAGAAAAGGGCTTCACGCATATATGTAGACTCGAACCCGGATCTTAATCGTTACGGGTCTACGGGTGGATAGCCTAGTGGTTAAAGAGTTCGCTCGTCACGAAGATCTACATTGGCGGTGGATAACCTAGGGGTTATGGCGTTCACTCGTCATACCGAAGACCCGGGTTCATTTTCCACACTGGCATAATGTGTGAAGCCCATTTCTGGTGTTTCCCGCCGCGTTTTGGCTTGAATGGTGCTTAATGCGGCGTAAAATTAAACTCACTCACAAGTCAAGACAACCACATCTGCCTTCAAGAACAAGGTCTTATAACCACGGAATCCGGCGGTCCGACATACCCGACAACGTTGGTAGGAACGCCAATATATATCCAAAGGAATGTTACTCTGTATCAACTGCTCAGTCAGCAAATTGAACACTATTGATCACAGAACATATCATTGATGCTACATATAAGGCCTATAATTCAACTGGGGAATACATCTGCCCAAAGCACACATCATTGTTATCCTATTAACGTGAATATTTAAACTTGAAAATGGACATCATTTTAGTACTGCACTCATCTAAATCCCAGAAGCCCAAATATACAAACAGATATCATGGAAGGACTTTCTGAATAATCACAAACGGTGTCTTCTGAGACAAGAGAATTGATACCATAAGGATTGTCAAACAGTCTGGGTCTAGATTTTCGAATGTGTCTTAGCGCTAAGATAGTCATAAGTAAATGATAATGCATGGCACTTACGACTGTCTTAGCGCTAAGAGAGCTTCGAAAATCTGGGCCCTGGATTCTAAATCTCAGATAAGAACAAGTTGCATTCATGCATCAACATTGTACACCTATCCCTCACCAGGAACCCATTACCACACCAACAACTCAAGGAACATCTATAGGACATTTTCAGTAAACGTGGTGACCAGAGATACAGTTACAGCTCTAACTTCAAGGTTCGGGACAATGTGTCAAACATGAAGGGTAATTTCACCAAAGGTTTACTGACGAAAGAACTGGAACCTCTGGGTTCCACCAGACAACATCCATGTGAAATGTAGAATAGGACATTGAGCAACAAGCAATCGTTTCCAAGGAAACCAACTGCAGATCTACTCTTGCATATCTGTTTCCATGAGCACAACAACAGGAATTTCGAAGTGGATCGTCAAATAAATTTAATCTTAAATTTGATTTTAATTTTAAATAAGTCCAAGTTTAACTTTAGCTTGGAATATATCATGACTTGATATCGTTCAGTTACAGCATAAAAAAGTTGATGTCGTTCAGTTACAGCATAAAAAAGTTGATATCGTTCAGTTACAGAATATAAAAGTTTATATCGTTCAGTTACAGAATAAAAATGTTGATATCGTTCAGTTACAGAATAAAAAGTTGGTATCGTTCAGTTACAGAATAAAAAAGTTGGTATCGTTCAGTTACAGAATATAAAAGTTTATATCGCTCAGTTACAGAATAAAAATGTTGATATCGTTCAGTTACAGAATAAAAGAGTTGATATCGTTCAGTTACAGAATAAAGAAGTTGAAGAACAGACAGGTAATCTACAAGCGTGTGTAGTGAAATTTCAATCATCTAGCACACCTGGCTGTTCTACCAGCAAGTTCCCCTTGTAAAAAATAACGAAAAGCGACAACCAAATAATGGTCGTTTGTTAAAAAACGTTTTTATTTGGGTGACCAAAATAATGAGACAAAACATCAGAGTTGGTCTGTCGATTTCATGTGACTGTGCAAAATTTGTTTGTTTATTTTTGTTTTTTTTGTTTTTTTGGCATTTATTAGATTTAATGTTTGTGAGCAATTCATCGGTCTCAAATGAAATCAAACGGACTGTAAGTCCGTACAGACATGTATGAGACCAGCTTCCATGTGTGTTAATAACGCTCAGTCGTACTGATTAGATAATGTGCTCAGTGGTAGTGATTAAAGAAGTTGTCTTGCGGTGTGTCACGAGTGTAATCTCACTAAGTACAAGTGGCATTCCTTCGGAAGGTGTTGCCATCTCACAGTGCAAGTTATCTGGGCAGGAACTTCATAGAACAAGATATTCAAGTATGAAGTATCACATACAAACAGACTTCATAACGAGGTAGGTAGGCAAACGTGTCGTCTTTGAGTAGTTGTGTAAAAATAACACTTGTACATTAACACTGCCATCACATCTGTCACCTCGTACCGCTGCAGGTAATCCCCAGGAGAACAGAGGGCACTCTTTCACAGGTGTACAAAGGTTGAGTACTACGAGGGTAGACGATGTTAAGACAAGGTGTTGTTTGATTTGTGTCAACTCTACGTAGAATTAGAACATTTTTTTCTGATGAAATCTGTTTAGATGTATTGCAAGTCATTTAAGCTAACAGCAGTGATTACAACACTGGCATGGGCAATACCGTGGGCTGAAAGTCCCAGAATGCATCTTGTGATGGTTAACAGAGCCAAATATATTTCTAAGTTAAAACACGTCACAGTTCTTTTCGAGCCTGATATGTTTGCAATAATTACATAATATATACTGCATATCACTCAAGCTCCGCTCCACTCAGTCTACTTTGTTCAGTCTACCCACGCCTCTTTGCCGATTCTCAGGATAACTCACTCCACGCCTCTTTGTCGATTCTCAGGATAACTCAGTCCACGTCGAGCCACACCACTCCACTCCTCTTTGTCCATTCTCAGGATAACTCACTCCACGTCGAGCCACACCAATCCACTCCTCTTTGTCCATTCTCAGGATAACTCATTCCACGTCGAGCCACACCTCTCCGCTCCTCTTTGTCGATTCTCAGGATAACTCACTCCACGTCGAGCCACACCAATCCACTCCTCTTTGTCCATTCTCAGGATAACTCACTCCACGTCGAGCCACACCTCTCCGCTCCTCTTTGTCGATTCTCAGGATAACTCACTCCACGTCGAGCCACACCACTCCACTCCTCTTTGTCGATTTTCAGGATAACTCAGTCCACGTCGAGCCACACCTCTCCATGCCTCTTTGTTGATTCTCAGGATAACTCACTCCACGTCGAGCCACACCACTCCACTCCTCTTTGTCCATTCTCAGGATAACTCACTCCACGTCGAGCCACACCGCTCCACTCCTCTTTGTTGATTCTCCGGATAACTCACTCCACGTCGAGCCACACCACTCCCTCCGCTTTGTCGATTTTCAGGATGACTCACTCCACGTCGAGCCACACCACTCTTCTTTGTCGATTCTTAGGATAACACACTCCACATAGAGCCATACTACTCCACTCCTCTGTGTCGATTCTCAGGATAGCCCACTCCACATAGAGCCATACCACTCCACACCGCTTTATCGTTTCTTAAGATAACTCACTCCATCTCGAACCACCTCGCTCCGCTCCACTCCGCTTTGTCGATATTTTCAGCATAACTCACTTCACGTAGGGCCACAGCTTACCACTACGCTTTATCAATTCTAGGAATAACTAGCTCCACGTCGAGCCATTCCACTCCGTTTCCAATCCTATCAACTCACACAATCTCCACGTATCGTTTTTCTGTTTCTTTCTTTACCTGCATTCTTTATTATCATTCTAGTTCATACTCATTCCACGAAGATATAACATGGTATACCACAAATAGTTTTGACAAAAGAGAATGATATGTTTTGTGGTTTATTATAATTGTGAACGAAATTCAGTTGGTGCATATTGTCTCCATCGTATAATCCACATACTGTGCTGGTTTCATCAATCAACGTTAAAAAGCCAGGACTGAATACCCTGGGCTCATTAAATATTCCAGATAGGTTTTTGTTGATGGATATCACAATTGTAAAGCGGAGATGAAAATGGTGAAGTTATTTTTATGCAGTTTAGAATTTGTGGGGTGTCAAAACAAATGCTTCCTATGTGAATAAACCTGTCTGCCATCAGGAGATTAGGAAGCAATCAATACAAGATCATGGCACTTCCCTCCCGGAAGTCGGGGAAGCAACAGGAAGATTGGAGTAAACAAATAGTTTAATATTTGCAAATTAATTGCTGAAAATGAAATGAAAACATCAAAGAATAACACGTTTTGGTCCATAGGCAATAATGCGTTATATATCCTGTAGATCGGAGGATATTTTACTGATGAGTACGTTTTCGCGAACCCTTTCGCGAACAACTGGAATCATCATTATTTGATTGCGATTCGTAAAGCGTGTAACCACATCTAAGCTAACTGACGATTTGTTGAATACAAGATCAGTTAGTTCAATGAAGAATCTTTTGTTTAGTTAATGGTATTTGCTCTACTCTGAGAAACGCGTGTTGATAATACTTAGGCACACAAGGAGCGGTGTGGTAGCCTGGTGGTTAAAGCGTTTGCTCGTCACGCCGAAGACCCGGATCGATTCCCAACATGGGTACAACGTGTGAAGCCTGTTTCTGGTGGCCCTCCGCCGTGATATTGCTGGAATATTGCTAAAAACACGTAAAACCCAACTCACTCACTCACTCACTTAGGCATACGCATTGACAGGATAAACATAAGCAGGTAGAAGGTATTTTTAGAATAAAACA